CTGCTACAACACTGAACAACTGGTGCATTGAAATATTGTGATTCTGTAATATATGTCATGAAAGTGTTGTGATGTCCTGTTTGTCTGCAGATATTTGAATGATCTCTACACATTAGAGTTACGCCCTGGTGCTGGTGTTGTGGGCTGGGACATACCTATTACATATGGAGTTTTACCTCCTCCCCGAGAGAGCCACACTGCTGTCATTTACACTGACAAAGGCATCAAAAAATCTCGTCTCGTCATTTATGGAGGAATGAGTGGATGTCGTTTGGGAGATCTTTGGACGCTGGATATTGGTAAGTAGGTTAACTTGTGGGGAAGAGGCTTCCCAAATAAGATGCCCCCACCCCTTTATTTTTAAAGGGGCATTTACTCCAATTTTCCAGTTTTTGTCTAGCAAAATAGTTGTGGGGGTAAAGCATACATAGCTGTTTTGTAAAATCAAGATCAAGTTCTTTGTCATCCCAAACATAAAAGTGGCATGAACTAATGTTTCGCCAGTGTTTTGGTTCACTTAAAACACTAATAATCCTGGTGCAGTTGCTCTGTTTGAACCCTGGTGCACACCAAATTGGCAGGCTAAATTTGAGCAGACTGGGGGGGGGGTTGGGGCTCCACTGAGGATGTCTGTGTTAGTCCACTTACAGATGAATTTTGGTTTGAATAACACAAGTGCTAAGTGAACCAGAACCGAAATGCAACAATAAAAAATCATTTTCTAGATGATCAGATCAAGGGATCCAAACCAGTAATGTAAACAAACCATAGGCTAAACATATTGCAATTTACCAAGATGGTGCAGTACAATACTAATTACAATACACTAAATACACAACTTGACTCAAAGCTCATAAATAAATTGTTTGTTATAGCTGATCAGCTTTGTTGGGTAGGTTTTTTGTCATTCGTTGTTTGTGTTTTCCATTTTTGCCCTATTTTAACGCTTTGGTTTTTGTTTCTTTCACCGCACAGTTTTGCTATACACTATTTATTTGTATTGTTTTTCTATACACACTGTGATACTTTTGATTTACATTTTTATGCAAAGGTTCATGATGATGATGATGATGATGATGATAATAATGAGGTTATTGTTGTCTTACATAGACACTCTGACATGGAATAAACCCTCTGTAAGTGGCACAGCACCGCTCCCTCGCAGCCTCCACTCAGCCACCACCATCACTAACAAGTGAGTTTTCTCATGCTGTCATTTGCTCTCACTGTAAGTGTGACTCTGCCCTTATTGTCCAATTTTCTTTGTATCTGTGGTGCAGGATGTATGTGTTTGGGGGATGGGTACCACTAGTGATGGATGATGTGAAGGTGGCCACACATGAGAAGGAATGGAAATGCACAAACACGCTGGCCTGCCTCAACTTGGGTAGGCATCATGTATTTTTTTATTCATTTATTTATTTTTTCCTCAACATGATCTGTTACTGAAACGGTTCAGTAGAGAGGCAATCAAAGTATGTAAATGCACAAGAAATGTGAGATGTTAAAACCATTTTTAAATGCTTTTAACAGATGTTAAGTGAAGGATTTTTTTCTATATAGTTGATGTTTCAGATATTAAAGCTTTTCTAAAGACAAGAAAGATATTTATACACACAGGGGTTCAGATGTCATGTTGTAATAATAAACTCTTGGCATTTCTATTGGTTTCAGACACCATGTCGTGGGAGACCATTTTGATGGACACTTTGGAGGACAACATTCCGCGGGCCCGTGCTGGACACTGTGCAGTTGCAATTAACAACCGGCTGTATGTGTGGAGTGGCCGTGATGGATACCGCAAAGCCTGGAACAACCAGGTGTGCTGTAAGGACCTGTGGTACCTGGAGACAGGTGAGAAGATAAATACTGGCGTGAACATTACCTAATGCATATCATCCATACTCTGAGCCAGGAGCGTGCTTTTGCTTTGTTGAAGACTGAGACTAACTGATGAAAGTAGAATCAGGTGTGCTCCTGCTTAGAGTGAATAGAGTATAAACCTGCAGTCATACTGGCTCTTTGTGGATAAAATTAGACTATCAACCTAGCACCTGGAGATCTGCTATCCTGCAAACACTAGATTTGACTCTAATCAGCCACACCTGCTACAAATCAGTGTTTTTTCAAACAGTGCTTAGGAGCTGGATGAGGTTTGTTTTGGGTTTTAAGCAGGACCTTTTTTCTGTGTTCTCACAGAGAAGCCCAGTTCCCCTTCGCGAGTGCAGCTGGTCAGGGCTAACACCAGCTCTCTCGAGGTCAGTTGGGGGGCAGTGTCCACCGCAGATTTGTATTTGCTGCAGCTTCAGAAATACGACATCCCGTCGTCCACCAGCACTGCATCTTTGGCTCCATCTCTTCCGGGGAACTCTCCAAAAAGCCCTGCACCTGCCGCCTCTGCCCTTTCTGCGCAGAGCCTGCCACAGCCTGCTGTATCCTTTGCCCCGCAGGCGGCCTCTCCCACTGGTGCTGGCTTGCCTGTCCTTGCTAACACACCCACCAGCCCACTGGCTGCCTCTACTGCGCGCAGCCCAGGTAAACATGCAAAACACGCTCAGAATGCATTTGGAGGCCCTGTAAAAATGAAATTTATTAAGCCAGTGGTAGATCTGCAACAAATATTTGATCATTAAAATATAATGCCATTCAGATAACTGGTGCTTTTACCTTTTTTTTTAAATTTTGAACCCTCATACAAAGGAAGCGGTTCTTGGCCCTGTTGAGGTGTGAGCTAGCTGGTTGTCGTGCTCCCAGCTGCATTTATTACTGATTAAAAACTAGAGTGCACTGACTAATGAGCTGTTTAGAGTAGTAAGAAACCTAATACTACTCCAGGATGCATGACCATCACAGATGAGTGTAGTGCATGCTCAGTTGAAAAATGGTTTTCAAGCAGCTTTAAAACAGTCATCATGTAAAATCCAAAATGTGGTCTCCCCCCCCACTCTTTGATGAAAGTTGACCAAAAAAGGTATTTTTGAGATGATGGTTTAAAAGATGCTGTTTTCTACACTGTACTGCTTATTGCTGACATTCCCGTAACCTCACCAACTTGACTGTTGCCAGATTGGATCACCCGTATAATTTCTGTGTTATTCTTTATCAGCTATGTCTTTCCATTGCTTAAACAGTTTGGACATTTAACAGAAGTGCTTATGCGTTCCCATTTTTCCTCTTTTATTTAGCTATCCTGAAAGTGGCAGCCACTCAGTCCAGCACTGGGACATCGATTGTCACTGTGCGACCAGCAAGTCAGGCTGCGAAATCTCCGGTCACTGTGACATCACTTCCTGCTGGTGTTCGTATGGTGGTGCCAGCACAGACAACCCAAGGAACAGTAAGAACTCAACATGATTGTATTAAAATAAGCAGTTATAATAAACTGAACAGTGCCATGTTTCATGTATGTGTATAAATCATTCATTTATAGCCAATAGGTAGCAGTCCTCAGATGAGTGGCATGGCCGCTTTAGCTGCAGCAGCCGCCGCCACCCAGAAAATCCCATCGTCATCCGGGGCTACTGTGCTGAGTGTGCCAGCGGGAGCCACCATTGTTAAAACAGTTGCTGTTACTCCTGGATCTTCCACAGTTAAAGTGGCGTCGCCAGTTATGGTACAGTTACTCATCATCTTCATTAATAGCTGACATTAGGGCTGCAACAAACGACTAATTTGATAGTCGAAAAATCTATCGGTTATTGAAACGAATAATTATTCAGATTATTATTATTCAGATTATGAATCACTCAGTAACTAAATAGCTCTTATGTAGCTATCAGCATTTAAATTTAGTTTGAGGTTGTTTTATGCGTTTGCTGACTAACAATGAAGATGAATAACAAAAGATGAATAACTTATTCAAAAGTTCACTATTTCAATTAACTTTCCTGTTAATACAAAAGATAAAACTCCAATCTTTTTCCTGTCAAAATTTAAAACCAAGGATGTGCAAAGTAGCAGGAGTAAAACATAACATTCAGTTTTCCCTTAATCAAGTAAATAGTCAAACTAAATTTAAATTTAAACAGTGTATTCTGCGCTTTGTGCATTCTGCTGTATGTCTACAATATGTTGCATATAAATTCTACAATCACAGGTATTTATTGAAACAGAGGAAAGTCAGCATCTCTGCATGCTCTTGTGAGAGGCTTGCTCTCTTCTGAGAGCAGATATTCCCAGCTGCAGAGAACATGTGTTCTGATCGGAGGGGAAAGTGGTGAATGTTTGTGGCAAACTTGTTCTCTGAACAGTTAAATTTGACCTCTTTTGTGTAAACATTTTTCAGCGGTAACCCTTCGTTCAGCTCCCCTGTATGTTGGCGGAGAACTACCTCTTCCGTTTGCGAGTGGTGGCAAACAGCGTTCGTGGAGAACAGAAAACTGTTTGCAACTGTTCTCCTATGTTCACCCGAACGCACCGGTGGCCTGGACATTAAGCCGAAAATGCAATGTCTGAAATTGTTAACGTTATTTGGAATGTCATCAGGGTTGTTGTTAATAACTTACTTGCTTCTTCATTCCAACGCCATTAACGATTCTAGAGAGCATGCATTTTGAAACAGAAAATGGTACAGCTCATAACACGAAGTACGATGACTTGTAACATTAACGCTAGCTAGCTAGCACAGCTAACTTACCGAGATGTATCTCCTTCATCCAGAGAGCTGACGTGTTTCATTTTCAGATACTCCCACATGGAAGATGCGCTCATGCCAGCTGAGGTTGGCTTTACAAATAGTACAACTGACAACTTTTTTTTTTTCTCTTTTCTCAGAGTTTAGCGTGAAATGCTCCCACACTTTTGAAGATTTTGTTCTTGAGGCTGCCGTTGTCCATTTGTTAACTCTCCAGTAAGCGGTAATGTCAAAACATTCCTAGTTAGCATGAGAAATGTGTGATGACATCACCAATCAACTATTAAATTAGTTGCAGACTGGTCGTTGGTTTTAGTCGACTAAGTCGAATACTCGTTGCAACCCCTAGCTGACATGCTCATAAGCAAAGTGTAATTTGGGTCTATTTAGTTCAGAGGCAGTGTACTGATTTCATATGCCTCCCAATTTAAATGACCCAAAAACTTGAATGACTTAATAACCTAATTCATTATTTAAATAATAGATCTTAACTTGTCAATAATGTATAGCACACTTAATCGAAACATTTGCACAAACAATAATAGCAAATAAAACATTAAGTCTTTTAACTACTCTTGTGGTTGTTTAGTGTGTAGGGGTGCAACGATTATTCGACTTAGTCGACTAAAATTGACGACCAAATTAGTTGATTAGTTGGTGACATCATGCACGCATGTTTCTCGCACTCACTAGGAATGTTTTGACATTACTGCTTGCTGGAGACTTAACAAAAGTGCTTTGGTAGCCTCAAGAACAAAATTCTCAGATGTGTTGGGAGCATTTCACGCTAAACTCGGGGGGAAAAAAAGGTTGTCAGTTGTACTATTTGTAAAGCCAACCTCAGCTGGCATGGGAGCACATCCTCCATGATGGAGTATCTGAGGAGGACGCACGTCGGCTCACCGGATGAAGAAGGTTCATCTCAGTAAGATAACTAGTTGTGCTAGCAACGTTAGTTAGTTAGCTAGCTAATGGGAATGTTCAAAGCCGCCCTACTTCATGTTATAAGCTGAGCTGTAACGTCTGTTTCGAAATGCGTCGAGAAGCATGTGACTACTATTTACAGCGAACGCTATCACAGTTTAAAACGCTGCATCGTTGTCCTAACGTCGAGGCCACCGGTCTGGTCAAATTCGGCAAACACAGGAGAGCGTTTGCAAACAGTTTACTGTTTTCTGCGAACACTCACTGTTTCAGGAGGTAGAACATACAAGGCAACTGGACGAAGAGTTACTGTCGAAATTAACTGTTTACACAATCGTTCAAATTTAACTGTTCATAGGGAAGTTTGCCACAAACATTCGCCACTTTCCCTTCCGCTCCGTCAGAGCGAATCTTCTCTGCAGCGGGGAATATCTGCTCTCAGGAGAGAGAGCCTCTCACAGGAGCATGAAGAGATGCTGACATGTAGCATTTAGTTGCAAGCCATGTCAACGTTTATTTATATAGCACTTTTTACAGCAGGCGTTGTGGCAAAGCAGCTGTACTGAAAAAATCCGGGTCCAGCCCCCCGTGAGGGTCACCAATAGACCCTTTTGAGTCTGGTTCCTCTCAAGGTTTCTTCCTCCTGTTGAGGGAGTTTTTCCTTGCCACTGTTGCCAAGGCTTGCTCACTGGGGGCGTGGACCCGGATTCTTTGTAAAGCTGCTTTGTGACAACATCTGTTGTAAAAGGCGCTATATAAATAAATTTGACTTGACTTGACCAATAGTGACAGTGGCAAGGTAAAACTCCCTTAAAGCTAGAGGAAGAAACTTTGAGAGGAACCAAGACTCAAAAGGAGAACCCATTCTCCTCTGGTCAACACCAGATGGCAAACAATAACAAAAGAGCAGTATGAACAGAGAATAAGGTTTTAATGTTGGTATAAAATATTAGATTAGATTGGGTGCTGTCTGTCTACACAGGGTACAAAGCACAGAATGCATTGTGTACATGTAAAATTTCAATTTAGATCATTTGTTTTTATTTACTTGATTAAAGGAAAACTCCCCAAATTTTGACAGGAAAAAGATATTGGAGTTAAATTAATCTTCTGTATTAGCAGGAAAGTTCATTAAAACAGTGATATTTTAAATAGGTTATACGTCCTCATTGTTAGTTGGCAAATGCATAAAAACAATCTCAAACTAAATTTAAAAGCCAATAACTAGATGAGAACGATTCATAATCTGAATAGTCGATTATTCGTTTCAATAATCGATAGATTATTCGACCGTCAAATTAGTCATTTGTTGCAGCCCTATTAGTGTGATGTCATGGTTTTGTCTGGATAGTTGAAATTACTGTTGTATTCAGTGTCTCACTGTGTGTGTGTGTGTGTGTGTGTGTGTGTGTGTGTGTGTGTGTGTGTTTTTATTTTTTCCTTCTCTTCCTTCCCCTGGTGTGTAAAAGGTTAGTAACCCTGCCACCTGCATGCTGAAGACCGCAGCTGCTCAGGTAGGCACGCCCAACATATCCAGTGCCACCACGCCCACCCGGCCCATCATCACTGTGCACAAATCCGGCACGGTCACTGTTGCCCAGCAAGCCCAGGTGGTCACTACCGTTGTGGGTGGAGTAACCAAAACCATTACACTGGTCAAGAGCCCCCTTACCATGGGAGGAGGTGGCACACTGGTATGGCATTATATAGTAGATATGATTGTGGAAAAGATATATAATACAAGTTGTATGCAAAAGTTGGGGAACCCCTGGTCAAATTACGTTTTATTGATTTTTCTAAAGCTGGGTGTATACTACACGACTTACTCTCCATTTTAGAAGTGTTAGGATTTTATCACAAACTTGACACAATTTTTTTTTTTTGTTTTTGGCGCAAATAATAACTAAATCCTAGATCTCCTTGATCATTATGTGATGGAAACAAAGCGCAACTGGACTGGACCTGTTTGTGTGTAGCAAAAACACATTGTGCGTGAGTATGAGAATGAGAAACACAGGCTCCCTTGTGAGAGCCAGAAAATACTTCCCTTCAGACTGGCAACTGACTTGTAATATCTTGACATCTGGATCCATACGTTACAAATATGATAAAGTGTTCAGCAAGCAGCCTCTCTGCACACGCAGTGCCTTTTTTTGAGGGCTGTCCCAAATAGCATTTTTTTGAGCTCCAAACCTTTGGCAGTAATCAAGAGTGAATATTCGAAGCTTCGCACCACATGAGACGGAGGGTGCTGAGAAAGTTGAAAATCAGCATCCGACACCTGTGTTGAAAGCACATTCGCTGCTTCTTCCTCCATCAATTCCAAAGCTCCACGCTAGCTGCTTTTATTGAAGAGCACTGTGGGGCTCACAGCACTGCTTTTCTCCATCTATCTGGCCTGCTAGCTTCTCTTAGCATTGGGCTAAGGGTAATAGCACAGTGCATGCAGAGTGAGACACTGTTTGCAGCCACCCTGTGAAAGCATGCTTTCTAGCACCGTTGTTCACTGCTGTGAATGAGCCCAATGTCGGATGCCTGAGCTGAAATGTTATATATTTCTACATTTTAACAGTGCAATCAAAAAGTATAAATATAGTGCAAGAATGTGCTGACAAACTGTTATGGCGTCACCATACAGTGTTCTAAGTAGTTCAGTTTCTAAAGAGGAAAAGTTTATTTTGGGCTGTTTTACGTTCATTTGTAAGGACTTTTATGTTGAGCCTGAATAGAGGTGAAGTGATGGTTTTTGCAGAGTAAAGCAGAGGGCTGTTTTTAGCTGGAGAGGCTGTGTTTTTCTTCTTGCTGTGTTTGGTGCCGTTTTCAGCAAATGAAAACATTACAGTATTTTGCGGTTTGCCATTTATTTATTTCTTTTGCAACAAATATATAGTACAAGAGACAGACAAGTAAGTTAAGACAAGACAAGCCACAAAGAAAAAACACACAAAGGGGAAAAAAAAAACAAACTCACAGCAGACAGTACATAAGGCAAACAAGTAAAACGGGACAAGCCAAACAAAAAAGAGGTATTATTATTATTATAATAATAATAATAATAATAATAATGACAGACAGGCAGTATATGAAGTAAATTAAGTGGTAAGATGTATGCCTACACATATACACATACACCCATTCAGCATCTTTGTACATAAAATACAATAGTCTATTACATGAATAATAAGCAGGCAATATTGTTTTGCTGTGCAGAAGAAAGGGAGAGCCAGGGTGCCCCCACCAACCGTTTTCTGTCCCCATTTGTTTTGTTGTGGATTGCATCTGATGCTTGTTCTGTTAATAGATTAGTCCACTGTGTTACGGAAATCTTGTTTTTGTCTTTCCAATTTAGCAGTATTGTGTGTGTGTTTTGCGCTATAGTTAATGCTATAAGTAATGGAACTGTGTCTTTGATTAATGATTCTACTTCTGAGTGGTCTCCTAGGAGGCATAGAGAGGGTGACATTAAATTGCTGCTCCCCAAATAGAGATAATTTTGAGGTTATATTTTCCCAAAAGCGGCGGACTGGTGTGCAAATCCAGAATGTGTGTAAATAGTCATCTGTTTTGTTAGTTGTACATTGTGTACATATGCTTGAATTGCTGAGTCCCATTTTAAACAATTTGTATTGGGTAATGTGTGTCCTTTGAATAATTTTATATTGAATTAATTGTATGTTTGTGTTCTTACTCATAATTTGTGTCCAGAATTGTGTATCAGTGCAAATATCTAAATCCTTTTCCCATTTATTAGTTGGTATTGATATGGTTGAATTTAAAGTACCTATGAGAGCATATAACTTTGATGAAACTTTCTTAGGGCTGATGACTTGGTTTATATTTTCAGTAATGAGAGGTGGACTGAGATTGTTATGAAGAGTATTTATTTTGGTTATAAGTATACTTTTTAATTGATAATATTTTAAATATTGATTTTCCTCTAAGTCAAATGTTGCAGTTAGTTCTTGGAAGCTTTTAAATGTGTTATTCGTAAAGTGGTGTTGTAAACGTGTTGTGCCTGTTTCTTTCCACTTCTTGTATATAAGGGGTCGTTTGTTAATTGTAAAGTCTGGATTGTGCCATATGGGTGTGTATATGTTAGATGTCATTTCAAAATTTGTTAATTTATTCATTTTCCACCAGGCTTTTAGTGTCGTTGAGATTGTCATGCTTTCAAAACATTCATGATATTTTATGGATTTGCTAAGAAAAGGTAAATCTGCAGTGGATATTTCGTGCAGTATGACTGTTCTACATCAAGCCAGGACTTACAGTAATCATCTGTCTCCATTTTACTAAATAGTGAAGCTGATTTGCTAAATAATAAAACTGAAAAGTTGCAAAGTTGTGAGTTTTATCCTAGGTTTCTTATTTCTCCAATAGAATTTTGATGTTAACATGTCTAAATTGTGGAACCATTTTTTAGTAGGTTCAGTTGGCAACATTGCAAATAGATAATTGGCTTTTGGTAGAACTGTCATTTTGATTGTTGCAATACGGCCTGTAAGAGAAATTGGTGAATTCATCCAGCGATTTAGATCATCTATTGTTTTTAATAGTGGTGTAAAATTACGGTGGAATAACTCTGAAAGCTTGGTGGTTAATTTACCTAGATATGTAATACTTCCTGTGGTGATTTGTAAAGGGTAGTTTTGGAGTGCAGCATTCCAATTCCAGTCACCTATTGGTAACGCTGTTGATTTGTTCCAGTTAACAGAGTAATCTGATATACGTGAGAAACTATTAATCAGTTTAATGGTTTCCTTTATTGACGAAGTGGGTTCTTGGTGAAATAGTAGCACATCATCTGCATAGAGGCTTATTTTATGAGCAATACTGTGGGTTGAAATGCCTGTGATTTTATCATTCTGAGGTATTGCTGCGGCTAGTGGTTCTATGAAGATTGTGAATAACAGTGGTGAGAGTGGACATCCTTGTCAGGTACCATGAGAAAGTGTAAAGCTTGATGAGGTGATGTCATTAGTTGTAATGGAGGCCATGGGTGATGAATATAGTATTTGGATCCAGTGTATAAATGATGTACCAAAGCCAAATTTATGTAATGTACTAAAAAGAAAATCCCAGTTTACTTTATCAAAAGCTTTTTCCTCATCTAAAGATAAGATAATTGTTTTCCTATTACTTTTCTTTGTAAAGTTAATAAGGTTGATGAGATGACGTGTGTTTATGTGATGGTTGTCTCCCTTCTATAAAGCCTGTTTGATCTGGATGGATGAGATTGGATATAACTTTTTCCAGTCTTGTTGAAAGGGCCTTACTTATAATTATTATAATAAAGTCTGTGTTAATTAGTGATATTGGACAGTAACTTGAGCATAATGTTGAATCTTTATTTGGTTTGAGTAATACTGAAATTAGTGCCATATTCATTTGGGATGGAATAGACAAAGTTCTTTTTATTTCATTGACCATCTTTACAAACAGGGGGGAGATGGTTGGCCAGAAATGTTTATAGAAATCAGCAGGGAATCCATCCATACCTGGTGATTTATTGTTTGGTATTAATTGAACTGCTGTCCTAAATTCTTCTTTGGTTAATGGTGCTTCTAAGGAGTGTCTTTGGTCATTATTCAACATATGAAGTGTGATATCATCAAGAAAGGCATCAATAACGGATTGTTTTGTAACTGTTTTTTCTTGAGTATAAGGTTTTGTAGTAGTTTTTAAAAGTTTCATTTATTACGTTCTTTTAGTTTTAGTTGGTTTGCTAAGAATTTTCCTGATTTGTCTTTATGCTCAAGGTGGTTTTGTCTAAGTCGTGAAAGTAAAAATTAAGAATTCTTTCTGTGAGATTTTCTGCATTTTGAGCTCTGGAGTTGCTTTAAATGTTGTTCTAGGCTGCTTTGCTTTTCCTGATCCTTTTTTTTTTCTTATGTACTGAATATATGATTTTCCCTCTCATCACTGCTTTTGATGTTTCGCTTAATAGTATGGGAGAAGTTTCTTGTAGATTATTGGTTTCCATAAAAGATGTCCACTCTCTTTTAAAGTAGGTATCAAATTCTTTGTCTATGATGAGCGATGTATTAAATCACCATCTTGGCCTTGTTGCAGCTTTTTCTATGTCATTAAAATGAAAAGTAATGGGGGCATGATCAGAGATTACTATTGGATGGATTGTTGATTGTGATATGTGGTATGATAGAGTTACTGGCAAGAAATAAATCAGTAGCCACGTTTACATGCAGCCTAATAATCCATTAATAATCCAACTAGCTCAATCGGAATAGAATACGTCCATGTAAACACCTCAATCGGAATAGTCTAGTCCAATTGAGGCCATTCGGAATACAATTTCTATCCGATTGAACGAGGTGGGTAAACTTCTAAATAATCTGTTAAATAGAAGAATAATAACCATGTAAACGCCTGTATTCGATTACATTCCAATCGGAAGGTGTAAATACGTTCTGCTCTAAACTTTAAAAGACGGCGGTGGGACGGACGTCCAGCTTATGTGTCTCAGAACTTCTTCAATAAGGACATGTAAAGCATGTTTTCCTGACTCTGACATCATTTTAAAGCAATTAAAAACACAAGCGTGCCAACTGAAAACTCATCTCACTCGGACTGGACCTCACGTGATGTTCGCTGTCATGGTAACGTTTACTCTAAGTGCTACTCTACGCATGTGTGTCATTTTGCATCGGATTACTTGTAGTGAGCATGTAAACGAAGATTTTCCATCAAATTGTTGAATAGAGCGTGCATATAAACACCTCAGTCTGAGTCTGTAATCTAATTGTATTCAATCGGATTGGCAAAAATCTTTGCATGTAAACATAACCAATGCGAGAGAAGGAATGATGAACCTGAGAAAAATAAGTATATTCTTTAACTGATGGGTGTTGCAGTCTCCAGATGTCTCCTAGTCCCAAGTCCTCCATGTATTGTTGTGGTATTTTAGTAGTGTGCCAAATCTTTGCATTGGAGTTTGATCTGTCCTGCTCTAAATTTAATACTGTGTTAAAGTCTCCTCCTATTACCAAAGATGAATTTGAAAAGTCTGATAATATTGTAAATAAGTCATGATAAAATGCTGGGTCATCTGGGTTTGGTCCATATATATTTGCGATAGTGATATCCTTGTTATTGATTGTGATTTGTATTATGATATAGCGTTCTTGTGTGTCAGATATTGTTTTTTTTTTTTATGGCTCAATTGAACATTTTTGTGTACCAAGATAGCAACTCCTCTTTTTTTGGAATTGAATGAGGATGAATATATACGGTTGAAATATTTCCCTAGTAGTTTATGTTCAGTTTCTAAAAGATGAGTTTCTTGTAGGAGACAAATGTCTTCTTGTAACTTGTGAAGGTGGTTGATGATTGTAGTTTTTTTATTGGTGCGTGAATGTCTCGTATGTTCCAGCTCAGAAACTTAATGTTTGTGGCAGACAGTGTAATGAAAGATACACAATGCAATCTTTTTTTTTTATAGATGATTATTAATGTGCTGAGTAGTATGTTAATTTCAAGTATAGCAACTTTGTAAAGGTAAGATAACAAATAATTACAGGTAAGACAGTTACAAAAACAAACATATAAACACAAACACACAGAAATAAACAAAGCATCAGTGATATGTTTACTGTAGGAAAGAGAAGAGAAAATTGACTGTTGGGTGATTTAGTGATTCAGTTCATGGTTTCTGAGTACCTTCCCCCCCCTTTAGAACAGCCATGGTGTAACTTCTGAGTCTCTATATAGTGTTCCATTGAGATATAGTCTGTCTACTGAGACTGTCGCACGTATTCCCTTTTTTTTCTGTATTCTTTTCTGATCTGGAACAGGACTTCTTTCTTGAATCTCCTTTGGAAATTTATCACTAAGACCAAATTTAGTGTCTTTAAGCTCTCTTCCTCTGCTTCAAACAAGTTCTTTTTGTTTATCATTCTAATTTGGCGACGATAGGTCGTGGATATGCGTTAAGTTTACGACATGGTGAAAGGAGATCTCGTTGACTGTATTCTCTGGTATCTTTAAGTGCTCACACATTTTTTAATAATTTTTTTCTGGATCTTCTTCTGTTTTTTCGGGTATTCCTGAGAATATTAAGTTATCGCGCATACTACGGCATTGAACGTCGAGTAGTGTTTGTTTCACTATTTTGTTTTCTTTATCTATTTTGTGCAGCTCCGTCATCAGAGAGTTAACAGTTTGTCATGTTGAAGGTCTTTAATCTGTTCAAAGCTGAATTCTAGACTTGTTTCTAAGTCTCGTATGTCTTTATGAAGGACGTCAATCACAGACAGTTGAGTTTCCAGACGCAGTAGTTTAGTATTGATTGACTGAAGTACACTAACCTCAACTTTACTGTCTGTGTCCAGGTCCTCTGTGTCTGTGGAGGAATCGCGAGTGCGAAGTTGCTTCTTTTCCGGTTTTTCCGCCATCCTTGTCAAATTGTAAAAGCAGCAGTGGGCCACCATGTTTGATCACACCTGTGGTTTTGCGAGATTGTCAGTGTTTTTGCAGTAGAGGATGAGTGGGTTGATTTTCGCTTAGGGGAAAAAAAAGCGTAATTTGACTGGGGTTTTAACTTGGTATCCACTGTATGTAGTGCTTAAAATATGTATAAATGTCCTGATGCTGGTTGCGAGTCTTGGTGTATGAAAATCATAGATGTGGAGAATATCCCCTTTCGGATAAGTGAATCACATGCTTATAATTTTTAAGAAGGAGCTATAAAATTTCAAGCGTTTAAGAGACTTGAGCAAGACTATGGGTTTACAGATTTTTATGTGAATACAGATTATACAACACTGCTAGTGTTTGAGTAGGGCTGCACAATATGGACAAAATACCATGTACCAGTGCAGTACATTAAAAACACAGCAATGAAACTACAGATTCATCTAGAACTGTGCTTGGTCAGGATACTCACAAATTTAGTAACTGGATAGATGGCTCATTTAAATATTGTAGTCTTGATGCCAGCATAGCAATGACAGTAATCAGTTAACAAGATATTTTGCAGCCCTGTTTCAGAAAAGTACTGCACAAAAGAAATATTGGTTGTTGTGTGTGTGTTTTGGATCCACCACTGTATAGCTTTCCAGCCTCGGTAAGGTTGTGTCTGTGGTCCAGACCAAACCAGTCCAGTCCTCTGCTGTGACTGGACAAGCCTCTTCCAACCCTGTCACTCAGATTATACAGGTTAGTGACACCACCTGAATATATGTAAATTAAACATATATACATATAGCTAAGTAATTTATTCATTTGTCCTCGTCCAGACAAAAGGCCCTCTCCCAGCCGGCACCATTCTGAAGCTAGTGACGTCAGCAGATGGCAAACCCACCACAATCATCACCACCACCCAAGCAGGGGGCACTGGGAGCAAGCCCACTATTCTGGGCATCAGCGGCATGGCGTCCACCACCACCAGCAAACCTGGCACCACTACCATTATCAAAACCATTCCCATGTCTGCCATCCAGCAGGGAGCCACAGGTTGGCACAGTAACCTCCTTTTAATCTATAGTACCTGGATTAAACTAGACTTGCAACTAACAATTACATCTTACTACACAAGCACCTGTTGACTATTAGACCTTAGTCTTTTGGTCACTCTTTTAAAGTTCTGTCTGTGCAGCATGAGATTTTTATTATTTTTATTTTTTTTTGTATAGTACACTGAAACCATAGAAGCCATTCTGCCCTCTACACTTCCTGTGATATATTGCAGTCTGTCAGAATGATCACGCATGCACTCTGAACAAGCTAGGGCATTATATAGTGCATTTATTAGTGTTGTAGTACTTAAATCTGGTCTAGGTCTCGGGATAATCATTAATAAATATCACCAAAAGCTGTAATGACCGGCACGTAGCATGATGACCATTGCACATCACTGCCGCTACCACAGTTAACACAGCCATGTTATGTAAAGCACATTTTAAACCAGGAGCAGTAACCGCACAGTAATCAGTGTGGCCCATTATACTGTCTGCTGTCACACAGCTAGCCACACTGAGATCAAGAAGGGACATCTGTCTTAACGTTAGCTTTCGAAAGTTATTCTCGTTGATGTAGTTTTGTAATTTATTTTATGACCATAGTATGAACTCCACATGAATTTGAATTTTTAATATTATTTTTTTGTTTGTGGTTTTTTTTATACTGAAAAAAATAATCCTTCCTATCTTGGTCTTGCCCACTCCTGGTTTTGGTCTTGCTTGGACACATACTGCAAAGTTTTGGACTTAACCTTCAGTTGTCTTATTCTTGTCTTTCTCTTGCCTGTTACTGCTACTTATCTATGCAATGCAATCAGTGCTGATTCTGAACGGGTGAAACACATAACTCGGCACAGTTTCACAGCTAAGTTAGAAAATCCCCTCTCACTTGTTTCAGTTAGAAGGTAAGAGCTACGCTTTATGTTCGGATTATAAACAATTTTGTAATGCCCTACAGTTTACATTGTTTTGTTTGCTATTATGTGGATATTGTGCTTTTGTTTATATTGTTTATAATGTATTTTTTGTTGTCTAAGAAAATGACTTCACTTACCGCAAAGACGTGCACTTTGTAGTTCTACAGTTACAGGCTGTAGTCCATCTGTTTCTCTGCATACTTTGTTAGCCCCTTTTAACCCTGTTCAGTTGTCAAAACCCCCACAGGACCATCCCAGAGCCGGTATTATTTGGATAGTGGATCGTGCTCAACACTGACACAAACTGTGCAGCAGCAGATGAGCTATTGTCTCTTTACATGTACAAGGTGGACTGATAAGGTAGGAGTGTCTAATAGAGTGGACAGAGAGTGGACACTGTGTTTAAAAACTCCAGCAGCACTGCTATGTCTGATCCACTCGTACCAGCACAACACACACTAACACCACCACCCTGTCAGTGTTACTGCAGTGCTGAGAATGATCCACCAACCAAATAGTACCTCCTCTGTGAGGGTCCTGACCACTGAAGAACAGAGTAAAAGGGGGCTAACAAAGTATGCAGAGAAATAGATGGACTACAGTCTGTAATTGTAGAACTACAAACTGCACCTATATAGTAAGTGGAGCTGATAAAATGGACAATGAGCATAGAAACAAGGAAGTGGTCATAATGTTATGCCTGATTGGTGTATGTGTGTGTGCGTTGGTGTGTCTTTTGTAGGTGTTACTAGTAGCACTGGGATAAAGAGCCCCATCACCATCATCACCACCAAAGTAATGACCTCTGGCACCGGCACACCTGGAAAAATCATCACAGCGGTGCCCAAGATTGGCACCGCAACAGGCCAACAGGGACTGACTCAGGTATGAAACATTAGCACAGGGAGTATTTAATACATAGACTATAAACTTTAAGAGAATTTGCATGTTTGAGGGCTCTCTGTTCTTTCTGGATATAGGTGGTGCTGAAGGGTGCACCGGGTCAGCCGGGCACTATTTTGCGCACCGTGCCCATGGGTGGCGTCCGCCTCGTCTCTCCTGTTTCGGTGGCCAGCGTCAAGCCAGCTGTAACCACACTGGTGGTCAAGGGAACAACTGGTAAAAAATCTTTTTGTTACAGAAAGTTAACTATGTCTTAAATGGTTAGGTTTTTTCTGGTTTTGACTGTTCTAGTAGCCATGTGGAGCCTTTTGTATTCAGCTCCGCTTTTGTAATTAGTGGCAACATGGGCTATTGATCAGGCAAAAAAAAAAAACAATGAAAGCATGTAAAACATATTTTGTTCTGCTCTTTAGATGCAGTCGATGTATAGCCACCCCCCCACCCCCCGTCTCTGCAGATATGTTTGCTCGGATAAGATGTTTGCCATGTGAACTTTGCTTCTTTAGTTTTACACTGGAGCTGCGAGGCTAATGTAGCTAACAAGTAATGGATGCTGTTACACCACCAGTTGCTATTCTGCGAACAGCCTTGAGTCTAATCTTAAGTAGGCTTACTCGTGTGGGTTCTGACTCTGTATAACATACCTTTTGGCCATTTTCAAGTGTTGTTCTTCTTGTTGTTCTTCTTGTTGTTCTTCTTGTTCTTCTTCTTGTTCTTCTTCTTGTTCTTCTTCTTCTTGTTCTTCTTCTTCTTGTTCTTCTTCTTCTTGTTCTTCTTGTTCTTCTTCCACCAAATGAGTAAATAAATACACAATCAGTACAAATCACTAAAATTGCAGACTTATTAAATAGAACATCCTAATAAGTATGGGCTCCTGGTAATTTAAGGAATTGCCGTCAGAGGTTTTTGACGTTGTCTTAAGTGGTTGAGCTCAAGGTGTTCTTGTCTTTTGCAGGTGTCACATCTTTGGGTACAGTTACAGGCACTGTCTCTACTAGCCTGGCGGGTGGAAGTGTGGCCAGTGCCAATGCGTCCCTGTTAACACCCATCACCACGCTTGCTACAGTGGCCTCTCTGTCCAGCCAAGTCCTCAGCCCTGCTGGCAGTGCATCTGCAGCGCAGAACAACCTCACTACCGCGACAGCTGCTATGCAGGTACGACACATGCAGGGCTACAAAACCATGCACTCGTTACTAAAGAGCTTAGAAAGCTTTATGTGGGCTAACATGATGCTTTAATTTAATAAAAATGTAATACTTATTGTGATGAACTATTTGCTTTTCTGAGCATATATTGGCTATTGTCTGTACTTACTGCTAGAGGTGGGAATCTCTAGGCACCTCAAGATTCAATTCGATTTCGATTCAGAGGGCTGCGATGCGATTATGAAACGATTATCGATGCATGTTGATGCATCTTTTTTCTATACAGGATTTTTTTCTCACTGTGTGACAACTTGGAACTTTTAAAGCACAGTATTTCTAATGGTCCAGAATAAATTTGCTTCCAATATCTTTTATTAATAAATCAAATGGAAGTGATGTGGCAAGTCAACTGGAAGGCTGTCATTCACTGCTCTTGTTTGGAGCACATGAGACACTGGCTGCCGCTCATCTGCAGTAAAATGCGCAGTTACGGTGAAATAAGATCCTGTGGTAATGGATGTCCATGCAGCGGATTACAGCTATTCTACCCGTTTTCTTCAGTGATTCTATAATTTCAGTTTTGGTCTCGTTGTAGAGAGTGGGAGTCGCTGTGTCAGTAAAATATCTTCGAGATGGCACGCTTTATCTCGGCTCCAAAGTGTGCAGTATAGTGCGAAAGCCCTGGTTCTCAATGACTGAGAACGGACGCAAATCCTTGGCAATAAAAGTTGCGATAGAGTTTGTAGTTCACTTCATCCTGTCCGAATTGGGTAGAGGCTTTGACATCGCTTGATCAATGGTCCTCTGGTTGGCAGTAACTACAACCAGGCAGAAAATGGGTGGAAACATGTAATATGGTTTCCCATTCAACTCCATAGAAGCCAAAGTGCTTCCATATGCTCGCTCGAGGGTCAGCAACCTGCAGCTCTTTTACTGGCCGGTTGTGCCTCCACATCAGAATAAGATTTCTAGGTAAAAAAAAATAATCCTCCTTTTCAGTAAAATAAAGCTCTGCTGGTCGTTCAAACACAGGTTTAACAATAAATGATCTATATAGCCTATAACTGCTAGTTCACCTAGCTAGTAGCTAACGAAAAGGCAAAGAGAAAGATTTAAGACGAACATCGTGAATTTGGAGATAACTTGCATTTTGGATTATGGATTTGCATTTATAATCATCCCAGCTGGTTTCCTGATGCATTTAATCTGCATTGAGAAACTGTCAAACACTTAAAAGTTGAAGCTGAAGTCTGTTTCTCGTTCTCCAGCTTCTTGTTAAAATTTTCCCATTCCACCTTAAATAGTGCAGCAGTTACATTCTGGTGCCTCAGGCACCATTTAAGGTGGAACGGGAAAATTCGACCGAGAAGCTGGAGAACGAGAAACTGACTTCAGTCGTTGAGAGACATTTTACAAGAAACTGTTCTACTTTTGTGGAAAAGTTTCCAGTTGGTTATGAAAGAAAAGCAGCTACTGCTGAGCTAAAGCTTAAAGCTGAGCAAAGTAAGTCACTGTTTTTTATTTATTGTATTTTTAGCCTAAACTAGGGCATAAGCACGTACTGAGACACATGTACAGCCAAGATGGTAAAATGGACTCAAAATTTGTGGCTCCCAAGGTGGTTTGATTTTTGTTGAAAAGATGAACTGATGCTTATTAACATTTGAGTTGCTGACTCCTGCACTAGCTTTTAATGTAGTGTGCACGCCACAGACTGTCCGGGCGCTGCACTTCCGCACTTTGTATAGCTGCATTCATAGTTCTTGATGGCTGTTTAGAAATGCGGTACTGTTAGTGAATTCTGTGTCAAAATGTTGTGGAGATGTATCATTAAAATGTTCTAAAGTATTGTGATATTTTGCTGTATCAACCAGAATGTCTGTGCTAATGTAGAGGCTTAAATGTATTGATACATCACATTTAATTGATCTGAATGTGATGCCGAAGGTACAAGTCCTGTACGTAAAGCTGTATTTTTCCACTGTTGTGTAAATAGTGTGA